TGTCAGGGCTTTTCTTTTTTTTTTGTCAGTTTTTTTTTTGCGTCAGTGTTTTTTTTTTTTTTTGCATCAGGTTTTTTTTTTTCGTCAGTCTTTTTTTTTTTTTTTTTTTTTTTTTTTTTTCCTGCGGCAGTGACTGGACGACGGTCGAGATGTCTATGCCACACCCATGCTGGGCCACGGCCGCGATGTCTAGGCCACACCCACGGCTGGGCCATGGCCGTCATGTCTGGACCACGCCTGCGGCTGGGCACGGGTGCACCAAAAAAAAAAAAAAAAAAAAAAAGATGCAAAAAAAAACCCTGACGCCCAAAAAAAAGAGTTAAAAAAAAAAAGTGGGACAGGCCAGTACCAGGGAACGGACCGATACCAAACATGCCACAACCGCCTTAACGAAACCGCCACCCTGACACCACTGCCGGCCTGAGTTACAACCGCCTTTTCAAACTCAGGCCATGACAAAGTTGCCGACTCGTTTTATTTCCACCCATTACAAACTCCATGTGACATAAACGTACTTCCCTCTTTTTTTTGTGTCGTTTTTTAACTCAGGCCCTCTGCACACCACGGCACCCCCCTGTAGTTATGACATCTGCGGTGATTAGAAACTGCCGTGCCTCTTTTATTGTCTTTTCAAACATGGCGTGTGACTGACCTATTGGTACGTGCTGTTTTTGCCTATTCGAACTCGTTGGTGGCTACAGGCGTAGTTGGCTCAAAATAATTTTTGGTTCTGCAAACAGGTTTGGCAGCCAGAAGAAATGACAGTGAAGTCATTCCTTCAGGTGATTTGATCAGTAGCTTCCAAAACAGGTACTGGAGCTTCTATTTTGTCTGATATCACCAGGCTGGCGGTCCCTGAGCTATTCAGATCTGGTCATCCGGTCTGGACAGCCTGCCCGCGCACAGTCCCCCTCACCCTGTATCAAAAACTACAGGCTGAGCTACAAAGACTGGACGAAGATTGATGCCATTATCCCCCTGTGCCCACTCACAGATTTCCCGGACCCCTTTCCCCCTTATGCTCAATCCCTGGTAGATCTGCAGTGGTATGGTAGCGATGAGAGTGCAGGGTACGCGGGAGGGAAGGCACTCTGCCAATGTTTTACAGCTCCTTTCTGGTGACCGTTTTTTCGGTCTGTCCTTCAGGACATCTGTTAAAAATTTTGGAATGATACAGCGAAGATTAGCATGGACCCTGCACAAGGATGACATGCATAAATCGAGAAATGGTCCAAAGCTAGGCTACCAGCCGGGCCGCACGGGTCACCCTGTTTTCCCGGGCGGCCCGGCCGTGCAAGGACCAGGGAAGGGTCCCAGCAAAAAAACAAAAAAAAATCAAAAATAAAAGAACTCCGGAAAACAACTATGTTATGCAGAAAAATAAAGTGAACAGCTTTTGCCTCAGGGTCACATCGAAATTGTTTACCATTTTTTTTTTCTTTTTTTTTTCTTTTTTTTGGCCCAGCCGAGCAAGTGGTCCCGGGCCACTCTGGTAGCCTAGGCCCAAAGTAAAAAAAAAAGAAAAGGGACAAAAAACAACCACCCATTCCAGTCTTATTCTCTCAGTCATGTTCTTATTGTTCTCAGCCGAAGCCGGTAATGGCCCCGGTATTTCAAAATTCTGTACATTTCCATATGGACCGCTGGGCACGGTTCCCAGAACGTGCTGCTCCCCACAAATAGATTGGAGCAAGGTTAAGAAAAGAAAAAAAAGAAAACAAGAGAAAGGCCTTCTGTACAACTGGATGTTCAGTAGAGCAAAATCAAGTTTTCGGAACATTGGGCGAACATAAACAACTTGGATAGAGAATAAACGTCTTTTTCTCTCTTAAAAAAGGATGATGGCCTTGATATCATTGTCGAATGGGTTGGCCCCAGGTTATTCAGAATGTCATTCATTTAGTTCCATCTGGATTCGAACACACGTCTGTATTCCAACAGTTCATGGGGGTACGAACTGAGCTACGGTCCGTCTTCACCTGAGTAAAACGCCCTGTCATTATCGCTGCATCTGGTCTGAAAGTTGCCCCAAATACAGGTATAATGACCGGGCGTGCTATTCGGGTGAAAACCGTCGGCAAACATAGACAACGTTTGGGTGAGGGTTAACTCAAAACTCACCAAATCACACATATATTGAAGGGGAAAAAAAACATTTCATGCCTGAGCGGCACGGTGTAGGTGCTGGGTTCTGATCCCGTTGCTGTCACTTTGGGTGGCCTGAGGAGGATAGCCAGGGCCAGCCGACGCTGATAGCTTGCTGGGGTGAGTTGTGCCGCCCTGTAACCCGTGGCAATGTGGGAGCGTCAGGTCAGGTGGAAGTGGCTGCTCAGGTTCTGCTGCGGCCCGGTCAGGACACACCCAGTAAAAGAATTCTCAGGTTGAATTCTCAGTCAGAATCATCATAATTGACATTAATGGCTTGATTACGATGCCTATCAGGGTTGAGACTGTCAATTTCAGGATATGTCAGGCTTAAACTCTCAAAAGACCTATCATAGCAAGAGCTCGGTAACCAATAATCATGACATAAAATCTACAATAACTTCCCTAATAATCTCGAATTACCTGGGGCCGGCCACCTGTGGATGTATCTCAAGACTGCCACCCTTTTTTTAGAGGAAAAGAAACCCTTTAACCCCTTTCAGTCCCTTCAGAAACCCCGTTAAAGCCCACATGTACTTTTTGGACCATAGGCTTTGGATATGGGCTCCCTTTGACAAGGGCAACACAAAGCACACTGATGTCAGACTGACGAGATGTCTCCATGTGCATTTTCTTAGCTGTCCAAATTCCCAAACAGGTGGGGGGAGGGTCGTCCAGGCCATTGGAGTTTGCTTCTTTTCGTTTTCTACGTGTTCTTGTCATTCCCTTGCTTCAACTTCATTTCAAGTTCTTTCCTCTGCACGATGCACATGCCATAAGCTTCAGTGATTGTCAGTGCAGCTGTCCAAAACAATGATTAGCAGCTTAACAAATTAACACATTCCTTGATCCAGTTAACATTGATTTTGCCAATTTTCAAAGTGCATCTTTGAAGTTTGCTTCTTTTAGTTTCAACATATTCTCGCCGCTCCCTTGTTCGAAGTTTGTTTCAAGATTTTCTTTTCTCTCACCTGCCACAAGTTTCGGTGATCAACAATGCGGCTGAAGAAAATGATAAGGACTTCAACGCGTTCCTCAGGCCGAGTAAAAAGTCTGATTAGTCTCACAGTCTGCTCTGTCGTTACCCAAACCAGGCATGATCTTGACCGTAGATTGCAGATCCGATCCTCCGCGGAAAGATGCTCTGGTCCAAGCTCCTCTGAAATCATTCTACCATCCAAAGCAACAAGGTTATTCAGTAATAAAAAAAAAGATTTCCCAGACGCCCCTGTTTTTTACCAGTCACGGGCCTCAGTCTCTCTACCACGATGAGAGTTGCATATCTCTACGTTTGTTGGACACATAGATGGTTTCAACAAGTCCTCCTGGGTGTCACCATGAGTGACTCCCAAAAAGTACAATACATGTTTCTTTTCTGCAGACAATTTCTCAGTTGGATGCATTCTTGGGAGGCTGTCAGGGTGCGGGGGAGAACAAAAAGAAAATGGCCTGACAGACATGAAAAGATGGGTGCTGTGCCGCAAGAGGTGCAAGGAAACATGCGACAAAGGGATATGGAATACGGCCTAGGACAGTGTCTTTCAGTCTGTGCCGGATTTCTGTGGGCAAAAGTCACTTTCTAGGGCCAGGACTCGCCTGAGATGGCCTTCAGGTCAAATGGACTGGGGTACCGGGCATCATATAATATCCGTTCATGCTGGCCGTAATCAGCGTCCATCCTATCTTCAAATGTGCAAACTTTTGGGTGAGAGTGCAACGGATTCCAGTATCCAAAAAAGACAACCTTTTGTAATAAGGGTGTACACTGTTTTCGAGCACATCAGATTCCCCAATTTCCGAACAAGGGTGCATTTGGTATCCAACCACCCTAAACTGCATTTTAGTTCAAGCTGAGTTTTTTCCCGTTTTGCAGTTTGGACTTGAGTGACCTCAAGCAGTCATTTGGCCTGTCTGGTAAGGGCCATTTTCAGGATAAGTGGTCATCGACAGTGTTGTCAGGCGGGGATCAACAGGGGCCGAGCCGGGTGGGGGTTTGATCCCCGGACCCGCCGGCGTGGCGATCCTGGACCCCCGGCCCCGCCCCTGCCCCTTCACCTTCACCCCCACCCCTTCACCCCCATCTATTGGTGGGGAGCAGCACCTGCTGGAAATCGGGTCCAGCGTCCCTTGACAGTTATGGAAACATATCAGCGCGCCACGTGTCAATCCTACGAAGATCATGCACAACAAGCCGAACCAACACACGGCGCTATATATCTTGATGAGCAGCATTGATTGCCCTCTTGCTGAGGGGACTAACTGCTCATCTTTATGAAAATGAAACGCCCCTTCCGAGACCCTTATCATCTACCAATAACAGGGAGGGGCATTCGAAACGAGAAATTATAGAACCTACTAAGACATCAGCCCAGCACGTGGCCAACACTCAGCAAATCCACGTAGGCAAGTGTGATGCTTACCATGTCAGCGCACCACGTGTCAGTCGAACTAAAATCCTGCACAACGAACCGAACCAACACACGGCGCAATATATCCTGATAAGCAGCTTCGATTGCCCCCTTGATGAGGAGGTCAGCTGCTCATCTCTATGGAGGTGGAATACCCCCTCCGAAACCCTTATCATCTACTAATAACAGGGACGGGACTTCGGAGCGGGGATTTATAGCATCTAGTAAAACGTCAGGGCAGCACGTGGCCAAAACTCAGCGAATCCACATAGGCAGTAATACCCATATGTACTGCTCCTTACTGCACCTTTCTGCGCGGCCACGTGAGAAGTCGTTGTTTATTGCGAGTTCACCGGATACCCCAACGATCATCATCAAGATTAGATACCGAAATTGAAGAACAAAGTTATTGCAAATTACCCACAACTACCTCCCCCCACGATTCTCAAAGTTTGTGAACGCGTTTTAAGCGGGGAGATAAGAGCCGTACCTATCCTACCCCTTCCCGCCACCAACCCTCCCCCCACATTCCTGCGCCCTCTTCCTGTTCAGCGCACATCCCAATCGCCCAACCCTCTCGCCCCTGACCCCAATCTTCCCCCACGGCATACAGAAGAGAAGACGGGATGGAAGGAGAAGACTGGGTGGAGGAGAAAGACCACCGAATCTTGTCATATATGTTGTCGCCAGCTATTTTGCCGGTGTCAACACGGTGATTGCAATGATAATCATCGCAATCGATGGCGTTCCCAATCCTGGTAGCGGCAACTATGGTATTGTTATTATTGTTATCACGGTTATTACCGTTGTACCTGATGATGTAGTTCCCATCAGTGAGAACTACACCTACACAATCACTGTTGTCGTCGTTTTTGTCCGTACATACGTTATCATCATCATTGTTGACATGACTTTTGTCTGTACTGTTGTTACTGTGGTTGCTGCGTATGAAATTAGCATCACCCTGCGCCACACACAGCGTAAACTCGTCGTCGATATCATTGGAATTGAAGACGCTGTCGTTGTTGTTGTTGTTGTTGTTGTTGTTGTTGTTGTTGTTGTTGTTGTTGTTGTCGTTGTTGTTGTTGTTGTTGCTGTTGTTGTTATTACGCTTCTCACACATGACAATAGCCCCCTCCTCCGACCGAATGCAATCCTCGTCGCCCGCAAACAAACACTCCTCCAGTTTGCCGCCAGTTCCCTGCCCCTCCTCAGGCTTCCCACGACGAATCACCACCTCCTCAATACGGAAAGCAGCCGGGATGGAAGTGTGATCTGCTTCATACAAATAATCCGGCGACAAACGCAGCACCTGCCCCTCCCCAGGTCCCGCGCCCCGCAGCCGTTCCCAAAGTTCGACGAAGATTCCCTTCACTTTCCCCAATACTTCAGTACAACCCCCCAACTCCTCCATCACCAGTGCTTTTTCGATGGCACCCAACCGTTGGAAAGGAAGGTTTTCCCGGAGCTCCTCCTCCCAACCACTGAACAGCTCCTCACCCTCCTCCAGAAGGTCCGCTGATAGATTTTGTTGATGATGAATAAGCACCGCGTAGATGTCCTCCATCTGTTGCCTATACATTCGCACCATCTCCAGCGCGGCCCCCTCCTCTCCAAGAATGGCAGCAGCAACAGCATCCTGCATGGACACCGCCTCCATCGCCAACTGCGTTGTGGATGTCGTCATAGTTGAGGCCGTTGTTGTCATCAATTTTACTGTCGTTATATCTTATTATGCTGTCAAAACCACTCCCCAATCAGCCGCGCCACGTCTTTAATCAAAACTTAATTCCATCACGCTGACGTGCCGTCTCCTCGAGCTGCCACGTGGAAAATCCCCCACCTACGTCCAGGCCGAAGCACCACCAGGACGACCAAGTACAGTGGTGACACGACATCTCCACCCCTGCACCAGTCTACGGAGTACGGCCGGGCCTTGCCGGCCGGTCCGCAGCGCAAGTTAGCGCTAGCAGCGCGGTCGCTCTAGACTTTGTTAAGGTACAGGGAGTCCGGCGCATCTACCCGCCATCCTGTCCTTAGGGTCGTTTCACATTTTTTCTTTCTTGCACATTCTTCAAACGTGCAAAATTTTGGGTGAGAGTGCAACGAAATCCAGTATCCAATAACATCAACCTTTTGTAGTAAGGGTGTACACTGTTTTCAAGCACATCAGACTCCCCAGGTGCATCTGGTATCCAACCACCCTAAATTGTGTTTCAGTTCAAGTTGAGTTTCTTTCCATTTCGCAATTTGTACTTGAGTGACCTAAGAAGTCATTTGGCCTGTCTGGTAAGGGCCAGTTTTTAGGAAGTGGTCATCGAGTGTTGTCAACCGGGGATCCCCAGGGGCCGAGCCGGACTGGGGGTTTGAACCCCGGAACCCCGACGTGGGGATCCTTGACCCCGCCCCCGTCCCCGCCCCT